CAAAAATGGAATGAGCGTCGCTTTGCGTGTGAGTTTTGATAACATATTGGAACGTGAGTTGAGTGATTGGAAATTTGAAGGTCCATGATTGGAAATAGAATATTGATATCTTGAGAACGACCTGTCTGACAAGCTTAAACGCTCTTCTGACCTTGTGCAACTCGGCTTATGCCAAATCAAGCTTGTGAGCAGGGCCAGGCGTCAACAGCCCCAAAAGTAGGCCCAAGAAAAAGTTTCTGTTTTCGGCACCTTTCGAAGATTGTCCATTCCGCTTGCACGTTGTTTTGCATCCTATCTTTGGCATGTGGAAGGATGCTGAAATCGTAAGGAGCCTAAAGAAATTTTAACTTTAAGAAGCTAGTGAGGCTACAGAAGCTATCAAAGCACTATCAAATGAGGTTACCGCAGGATTACCATGCGGATGCACATTTTGAGCAGCGCTCCCGCGTAACCTGGGATCTTAGGCGTGTGCCGAGTTGGGGTTGAGGGGCTCAACCTCCGTGGCGTGCCTATCTTCTTTACCTCAGATCCGAGTTTACCTGCCTGGACTTGACAACTCGTCCCTTTTCGGTGCATTGTCATGCGTTGCATTTTGAGCTGCATCCGGTCCCTGCGGGGTCAATGTCTGAGTCATCGTCTTAGTCATGGTCATGGATGCAGCCCTACCACTGCCTGTAAACGCCTTTGCAGTTCTGTCTGACACCGACTTGGTTTGTGACCAGTTTTGTGACCAGCTGCCACTGATTGATTTCTGGCACTTGACTTCTAGTGAGTGCATCAACACAAAGAAGGTGTTCCGTTGTGCACTGCTGCGTGGTTTTAATCCTGACTTTACCCAGACGGAACGGACGTGATGCACTCGGCTGCAACAACCAAAGGCCGGCCTCAAAATTGTTCCCGGAGAAATGAACATGGGTACACCGTCTGGTTCTTTTGTTTCCAAAAGAAAGGTGCAGGAGTCATCCTGGGTCATGCTAATTTCAGTTGGCGAATCTGGTCAATGGTAACAACTCAGAGAAATCATTTTCAAGGAGTGAGACGGCAGAACACTGAACACCGCAATGACAAAAAATCAGTTTTGCTAAAGCATCATTTGAACCCGCTTTTTGTTGTGATCAATCTTCAAGAAAGGTTTAGCCTCTGTTTACCGTTTGTTTTGTTGTGCATTCCACTTGGATGTGCACTTCTCTATCCACGAACTCGCCAATTTTGCCTGGAGACCCACACGATCTGATACTCGTCCAACCTCGTGAGTCTCGCCGAGCTCAATGATCTGGAGGGCTCATCAAACAAAAAACGATCAGAGTGTACACAGTGGAGCCTACCAGGTCATGTGAAACTGGCCATATGCGTGAATTTCCATTTCGAAAGGCCACTTGGCTGGAACAGTGGTAAACGTTTGTATCTGTTTCACCACGGGTGAGCGGTTGCAGAGTCATTCATATGCACAAATTCCACGTAGCTGTCCAGCGTTGTGAAGGAGCAATCCGGGTTTACACGAGGTGCCACAGGAAGCAGAGAGACATGCCCGTGTCACGTTCATGCGTTAATAAGCTCTGTGCAAGGTGAGTTTTGATATGACAACATGCATGCTACATGCCGCAGCACGCGCGGCCAAACCTCAAAATCCCGAGCATCTCCTGCAGACCTTGGCCAAGCAGACAGGCATGGGGCAGAGCGGTTTGATTGTGCGTATTCTTGGCTTTGTGCATAAAAAGGTTGCCGGCAATCCCATCATTTTTTCTTTGTGCTTTGCTTGGAGCCACTGGCCAGGCCATGCTTCCTTCAGTTCTGCCTTCATTTGGCAAGGCAGGGGCAGGAATGCGGTGCTTTCACTGCCGTTCAGTCGGCTCATGTGGAATGTGCTTTTGGAGCAGTTATGGGGATGGGATGCATACCTTTGCGGATGTCTTTGGCGCTGTGTCTTGAAAGGTGCCGCGGCTTGGGAGCTGATATCTGGGCTACGCGCTGAGCTTGCGCTAAGCAGTGTATGAGGGCTTCCAGAATTTAGGAGTCTTTTCAGGGCTCCTTTGCTAAGGAATATGAATTTTTGTGTATGCAAGTACAAGGGATCGCGCTGTTGTTGTAAAGGCCGGTGCTTTTTTTGTGAGAGGGAGGGAGGCGCGTTTCTCAACGTTACAGTTGCTTTCTCAGAGGTCTCAACAAATTAACAACATTGTTGGGGGGTATAGAAGGTCTGCCACTTGCAGCAGGACTCGTATCAGCTACCTACGCCACAAGCATGTGCCTTGAAAACCCGGTATGCCAGGGTTTGGGCATGCAGAGCAGGGCTTGGCCAGTTGGGAATCTCATGAAGGACAGGAAGGGCTGAAAGGCTGACCGTGATGCATGTGCAGGGTCCTGGGGGGTGTAAGGGGTATACAGGGTTATGTTGGGGAGATATTTGGGTATAATGGCAAAGAAAATGGAAACTACTGTTTAGGGATTTAAAGGTTCCTAGGGACGTTGGGAAAGCCGATGATGCCGGTGCTGGGAGTGATTGAATCCGGCGTTGCTGCTATCATACTCATGGTTAGCTAGCAGTACTATATGATCCCGAACCGTTAACCCCAAGTGGAGAGACTCTCCATTTGTCCTTTCCGTTCGGAGCTCAGAGGCCAAATCCGGAATTCTGGCTGGGGCATATCTTCGGATGGTTTTGTTCAGGTCTTGCATCATCAATGGCTCCTGCATCGCCAGCACCAACTTCCCGGAGGAGTACCCGAATTATGACGAGTGTATTTTCCAGGCTCCAGCTCCAACGAACCCGGGGACTGTGCTGGCCATAGAGGTGGGCAGCTCTGAACATGAGGGTGTCACAATTTTGCATTGCGCTCCAAACTTGTTGGCACCGCATCATGAATGGCACCTTAGAAAGATTTGTGCTCTTGCGAATGGCCAAGGTGCTGAGCTTTTCCACCGAGCAGGGCTATGATCGACTCACAGTGAATGGCATACAGTACGACGGCTCGGCTGGGCCTCATGGCATCATCTCACATGGCACTATCCATTGGAGCGCAGATGCTCGCCATGAATTGTCAAGGATCTCAGTTGTGAGTAGCCCCTTTGTGATCTCTCCCCAAGTTGCCCGGTTTTCCTTCATCCGAGGATAACATCGTCACACGCATGGGCTGGAAGATCTGCCTGGGAGAGGCCTGGACACCCCTGGCTTTCAGATTTTAGGACGTTTGTAGATCCATGCAAATTTCTTGAACGGACTTTGCATACCAGAATGGTAGTTGGGTCGTGCCGCTTTGCAGCAATTTGCTGAAATGCATCCTAGTTGTTTTGGGCGAGAGACACTGACAGAAGGCATTCATGCTTTGAGTGTCAAAGCCAGCGGTTGTTTGCCAAAAGCGACCAAGGCACCCTTAACCATGGAGCTGACCAAGTGCAACTTTCCATTAGATTCATGCCTATGGTCCAACGCGGGCAACTACATTTGGCAGCCCGTGGGCAGCCAAGCCACTGGGAACCAGTCACTCGAAGCAAGCACGGAGACAGACGAAGCTCGTACTTTCATTTTGGAGAGTGCTCACTTCAATGCCACCTTGAACAAAATGTTGCGGCTTACCTATCAGATGACGGGCTCTAGTTCTGTGTCTATGGAATTGCAGTCTCAGCTTGAAGCGGGCACTTGGACCACCATCCTGCAGCAGATGGGTGATAGAGGCAACGTCTGGCATGCCGAGAGCGTCAGGGTCCCCGACGGGACAGTCGCGCTTCGCATTGTGGCAAATGTCACGGGTGCCGGTGACGCCGTGAGAGTGGACTCAGTCCATGCATTGCATGTTGCCCAAAGTGCTGCAGACTTAGCCTGCGGGTTCGAAATGGGTTTCTGCGGATGGTCGGACACCGGGCCAGATCCGTGGCTGCGCGCATCGGGTTCAAGATACATGGGCGTGGAGCAAGCTCTTGAGGGCACGTGGTATCTTTGGAGTGGAGGCAACAGCAAGGTGTGGCGCTGAGGTGTTGCGTGTACCAGTGTAGCATGTGTAGCCACTCAGTGTCCCACCACTCACGAGCTACACCCCTACTAAATGGACAAGCCTCCCTGTCACTTGGGCTACTTGCCAGGCCTTCGAGTTGATGAGCCCAATTTTTGGCGTGGACTCCAACTTGAAGGAGCTCTACTTCGCCTACCACTTGTACGATGCAATTTTGCAGCTCGAAGCTCTCAGTGGCAACGCTTGGTCACTGCTGTGGTCAGCTGCAGCGGAGGGACGCCAGGATTGGGCCCTAGTTCGTGTTGCCATCCCCCCAAATGCAGAGCTGCTTCACTTTGTTGGTACCACTGGCAGCGACTGGGATAGTAGCATGTCATTGGATGCTATTAGCCCTGAGCCTCTCAGCGTAGCATATCAGCAGGTCTCCTGCAATTTTCAAAGGCATACTTGCTTTTGGTTCAACGCGGGCAACTACATTTGGCAGCCCGTGGGCAGCCAAGCCACTGGGAACCAGTTACTCGAAGCAAGCACGGAGATAGATGAAGCTCGTACCTTCGTTTTGGAGACTGCTCCCTTCAATGCCACCACGAACAAAGGCTTGCTGCTTACATACCAGATGATGGGCTCTAGCTCTGTGTCTGTTGAACTGCAGTCTCAGCTGGAAGCAGGCATTTGGACAACCATCCTGCAGCAGATGGGTGATAGAGGCAACGTCTGGCATGCCGAGAGCGTCAGGGTCCCCGACGGGACAGTCGCGCTTCGCATTGTAGCGAATGTCACCGCTTTGCAGGACATCGTGAAATTGGAGTCTGTCCTCATTCTCCTGGACTTTGTGGATATAAGCTGCAGCTTTGAGACTGATGCCTGTCTCTGGGCTGGAGAGTGGCAGCTCCACGCTGGCCCGCCTTCCAACGATCTGGGCATCCCCTCAGCAGGTGTAGCTGGAGCTTTTCACGGAGAGTGGTACATGTTGGCAAACCAGGCCAGGACTTTGGAACTATTTCGTGTGCGCTGCGTATGTGTGTTTGTGTGCTTTCGTGTCATGCCCTGCAGGACGGCGCATACCAGTATACCCATCCAGTGTTTACAAGCTTGGCTTTTTTTCCCACCACAGCTGGAGCAGTTGTCGAATTTGCATACCACTTGGTGACTCCCACTGGCCTTGCAAGCCTCGAGGTCCAGTACGTGGATCCACTGGATGCAGGAGTCTGGAAGAAGCTTTGGTCTCGAAAGGGCTCCCAAGGAGCCGACTGGCTGCAGGCGAAAGTGATGGTACCCGTGGGCACCCAACGCCTGCGCTTTGTGGCAGTGAGCACTCCTGGGGAGCCGGCAGTAGTGGCTGTGGATGCAGTCACGGCATTTCAGCTTGAGGGGGGAGCTCCGGATGTCATTTCTCTCTGTTCGAAGATGACGCACAGCTGCGCTGCTCACCTTCTCACGGGGCAGCTCAAGTGCTGGGGATCAGGCAACTTTGCTCAGCTAGGCTATGGTGGCTTGACCGTGGTGGGTGCTGGTCCAGGTGAGATGGGTGCGCACCTGCCAGCGATTGATTTGGGAGAGGGTAGTGACGCCCTGCAGGTGGCATGCGGTGTTTACAGCACCTGCGTAATTCTACGCAGTGGTTCCCTGAAGTGTTTTGGCTTGATTGGTGATAGCGGTTCAGCGCCAATTAGCCTTGGGGTCATGCACCCCGGAGCCATTGGAGACGAGTCAGATGAGATGGGCTCCAACCTGCCATCGCTCAGCTTGGCTGCGGGCGAAACAGTCAAGCAAGTCGAAGTCGGTGTATTCCACACCTGCGCGTTGCTGCATACAGGAGCTGTAAAGTGCTTTGGCCAGCGTGCCTACTTAGGTTTGGGAGATGGGCCGGGGCCTCAGTGCCAGTTGGTCTGCAAGTACATGCTTTGCTTGGCATTCTGTTCCTGTTCAGACATACTGAAGGCTCTGGTCATACGTTGAGATGGGCGATGCACTTCCAGCAGTTGATCTGGGGACGAACTTTACAGTGGTGCAATTGGCTGTTGGGCTTTATCACACCTGCGCTTTGTCGAGTCAAGGCACCATAAAGTGTTGGGGTCAAGGTCCCGGCCGAGGTCTAGGACTTGTGGACTCCAACGGAGTGCAGCCCACGGACATGGGGGACCAGCTGCCCTTTCTCGACCTCATTCCCGCCGTGCAGATTTCGGCTGGTTGGGGCTTCACCTGCGCTGCCGCTTGCCTAAATGTCCAGCATGTGAACGCCCTTTGTGCTTTTCTTTATTGGCAGGTGCTTTCCGATGGCACGGTCCGGTGTTGGGGATCAAACCAGTTTGGCCAGTTGGGCCAGGAGCACCCCTCAGATGCGCCCTTGGCTCACAAGGGCCTTCTTCCAGTGTCTCTGGGTGAGGGCATGCTGGCCATGAGGGTCGAAGTAGGTCTTTTCCACGCATGCGCCATCCTGCAAGATGGGACCTTGAAATGTTGGGGCCGCGGGTCGACAGGACAGCCGGGGCCTCAGGCAGACATAGGAGTCAAACTCGTATCACTTGTTTTGGGCACTTGCCATTGAGCAGATGAGCTGACCTCCTGCTATGCCAGGCTTGGCCAGGGTAGCACCGCGAACATTGGTGATGGGCCCTCGCAGATGGGCGACCACTTGCCCCCAATCGACCTTGCCAACCTTGCAGTGCGCCAAGTGTCGTTAGGTGTCACCCACACATGCGCGCTGTTGGAGGATGACAGAGTCCGTTGTTGGGGAGACAACAGTGCGGGCCAGCTTGGCATTGGCAGCACCACCTCAATGGGAACAAAGCAGAGCGAGATGGGGGAAGCCCTGCCGCCAACTGACCTCTTTCTTGTAACTCCGGGCGAAGAGATGCAGGGTCTGAGACTGATAGGCACGGAAAGCTCTGGGATGCTCCAGATCCAGTACAATGGCTCCTTTGGGCTTGTCTGCGATGACCTGTGGAGCGAGACCGCTGCGCAAGTCGTATGTCGCGAGCTGGGCCTGGCGGGTGGCCGGGCATTCTCTGCAGCTCAGCAAGACATTTAAAACACATGAAACAATTTGAAAAGTCCGAGCAAGCGTAACTGAGAGAATCCAATTTGATCGCAGGTGGACGCAGGCCATGGCACCATTCTCGCCGACAACGTGGTCTGCCAAGGCACCGAACCTGGCTTCGAGGACTGCCACTTTCGCGGCTGGGGTGTGCACGACTGCTCTCCGAGAGAGGCGGCAGGCCAGAGATCATTTCCCAAAAGCATGTTTGGGCTCGCCCTTCTGAGGTTGCAAGCATTAGGCAAGGCCAGGTTTGGGGTGGGTCTTTCCTGAGACTTCCACACATTTGCGTGTCCTAGATGTCTAGCAGGGATGGGCAGAGTTGACACTGTGGACATGTCACAGGTGTGAACTGCTCTCTTGACGCGTGGAGCATTCTGACCTCAGATGGCCCGGCGGCCCGCCAAGATCACTCCATGGTCTGGGACCCTGCGACGCAGTCTGCACTTGTCTTTGGGGGCCAAGCTGCCAGCGTTTTTCAGTACTTCAACGATTTGTGGAGGTACAGCTGGCCGCTGCGATCCTGGATGCAAATCTCAGCTTCTGGTCCTGGGCCCCGATATGGACACTCAGCAGTTTGGGATCCGCAGTCGCGTGCTATGCTGGTGATGGGGGGCAAGCACCTGAGTGATGCCTTCAAAGAGCTATGGCTTTTCAGCTCGGACCTAGAAATTTGGGAGCTTCTGTCGGCGGAGTCAGAGCCCCCGGCCCGTGCATACCACTCAGCCATTTGGGATGAAACCGCCCGGGTCATGATCATTTTTGGAGGAGAGAATGCCGAGGTTCTTAGCGACTTGCACATGTATAGTGTAGTTGGCAACAAGTGGACTATGTCAGATGCTTCTGGACCCGGAGCTCGCGCACGCCACACGGCCGTTTGGGATGGTGTCACCCGATGGATGCTGATCTTTGGTGGTTGGAGTGGCGACCGCTATCTATCTGACCTGTGGAGATATGACAGATGGTCAGGCAGGTGGGCTGAGCTGTCAGCTGCAGGTCCCTTGCCAAGGGCTGGCCATGGTGCTTCCTGGGATCCAGTTTCCCTGAGCCTTCTGATATTTGGTGGTGTACAGAACACTTCTGGTGCTCTGAGCTACGATTCTGGACTGTACAACTACAGCCTGCTGGCTGGCTGGACGGAGCTTCGACCCGACCCTCAACTGCAAAGCCCCTCTAGCCGCTCAGACATGCTGATGGTGTGGGATGCCACATCCAAAGGCCTCCTAGTTTTTGGTGGCTATAACAGCTCCTACCTCAGCGAGACTTGGAGGTATGTCGTCTCCAGCACTGTTGCACCACCCATCGTCCGATGCTATCTGGGGCAGCCCTGCCTTCTGCACCTCGGCAGCAGCTCTTCCACGCTGGCAGTGAAGGACGCGTGCCTTAGTGACACTCAGCCTGCAGCAGATGTAGATGCGCAACAAGTGCTTCATGCCGAGCCTGGAACCTACCACATATGCCAGTGTCCTTCTCAACCTTGTGACCAGATGGCAGACTTCAATCAGGTCGCGGGCTTCTTCATCGCTGAGGGCCCCTTCAGCAACCAGTCTGCAGAATGCTTCCTGGGCTCGTCTTGTAAGATCCACAGTTGGATCGGTGTGGGCATTTCGGCGGACGACCACCTTGTTCTGCGTAAGAGCTGCCACTCCACCGACACTTCGGCCTATAGTGGAGTTGCCATTCTGGTGGAGTTTGACCTGGTCACTTACACTTTCACTTTGGACTTGGGTCACCTGGCAGTGGATCATCCCGAAGACGTGGAGCTATGCTGGTGTCCGTCGAGCATCGCGTGCACCTCCACTGAGGACTTCATCGTTGTGGCGCTTCGACTGCAGATCCTATGCCCTCCTGGGCAGCACCAGTCCGACGCAGGGTGCTTGCCATGCCCGGCAGATCATTACTGCACAGGAGGAAGTGCTAAGCACAAGTGCCCTGTGGGGAGCACTGCCTTGGTTGGCTCTGGCCAGCTCCTTAGGCTTGCGAAGTCACACCATTCGAGAGACTTATGCATGTGTACATTGTAGATGCCTTGTCGTTGCATCGCCGAGGCGAGCTTTCCCAGTGCGAGTGCGTGCAAGGACGGTACACGAGCGCTGAGGGCCACAGCTGCCTGACATGCCCCTACGGCTCAACAACTGCGCAGGCGGCAAGATGCTACACTAGCATGCGTGACAGAATGATGAAAGCGACTAGCATATGCGTGTAAGGGGTTTTTGCATAGTTTTTTATGAGGGCGGCTAGCCGGGCCGACAAATGTCTGCACAGGCGAATGCCAGATCTTTGGCTTCATGCAATTGCCTCCCGAACTTCGTGAACACAGACCCCGAGCACCCTGCCGCATGTGAGTGCGGTCCAGGATTCGGTTTTCATGCGCGCCAAGGGGTTTGCGGACCCTGTCCAAGGGGCACTTACAAGCCGGATGCAGGAAACAGCCTGTGTTCGAGTTGCCCAGAGGACCAATCCACCCTGCAGATCGCATCGAACTCCGCAGGCGATTGCTTTTGCCTGCCTGGCTTCCGTCTCAGCAATGATGGCTGCGATGATTGCCCACCAGGCGCTTACTGCAACGGCACCGGGGTTGCGTTCCCTTGTCCCGAGGGTGCCACTTCGGTACAAGGAGCAAGATCGGTGGAAGAATGCTTGTGCGAACCTGGCTACTTTCAAGAAGGATCTCTCTGCAGACTTTGCCCCGGCGGGAGGTACAAGCCCAACAAGGGCAACGAACCATCCTGCCCGCTACAATGCCCCACGAGTTCCACCAGCAAGAACGGCTCAGCGACTCGCACGGATTGCAATTGTCTCAATGGCTTCTACGCGGAGCTCGAGTCTGAGTTCCTTTCTAGGTGCGTAAGCTGTGAGACACTGTCGGCCCTCCGTTGCCAGGGGGGCTTCCAGCAAAATGGATCCCTCCACCAGCTGCCTGTGGCCATGCCTGGCTACTTTCAGACGGGCATAACCACTGCGTTCAAATGCAACGTGTTTTTGGACGATGGCCTGAGCACTTGTCTTGGCGGTGGAGTGTGTGGAGGCGGGTCTGCGGAGAAGACCTGCGTAGGAAACTACACCAATGCCTGCGCGGATGGCTCCCTGGGATTTCTCTGCGGTGAGTGCCTTGCTGGCTGGGCCAGGACAGGCTTTCAGAAACCTTGCCGGCAGTGTCAGGACTCCACCCTCCCGCTTGTTGGCTCCATTTTCGTGGATGTGGGCAGTAAGGCCACCATGAGCTTTGTGGTTGCCTCTTTGGCTGCCACTGCTGCAGTGAAAGGGAGCAGCAAACTACATACCATCATGATCCGGATCACATCACAGTGGCTTGCAGCGTGCTCCGTCATTACTGCTTTTGACCTAAGCCAGGTCCCATTGGTGTTCGAGGACGGGGACGAGCACGAGCAACGTCAAGTCCAGGCCAACTTCGCCTGGCCACCAGAGATCACAGATGCCATGCGCAGGTTTTTTGATGAGCTCAGTTTGACTCCGGCACTGGTGTCGATCGAGTTCAGTACGCAATGCCGTGCCCAGGACATGTTTCCTGAAAGTCCTGCTGCTGCACGTGTCGCTCTGGGCCTCTACTACCTGTTCCTTCCGCTTCTAGTGACCGTGGCCATCGTTGGGCTTTCCTGGCTGGCCGTCCGTGGACTGGTTCCTCTGGCAGCTGGCTGTGGCTACTTCTTCAATGAGGCGGACAAGCGGCACAGGGCCACTATGAAGTGGCAGCAGAAGCTGCGTGATGCTGCACAAGATATCCTGGAGCAGGCAGGCCTCTCCAGCCCAAGCTGGGCCGATATCCAGCAGTCCGGAGCAGCAAACCTGACCTTGGCGCAGTTACAGGAAGCTGCTGCCCACCCAGATGCTTTCCTTTGCCAAGCACTCATTGCCTCGCCAGCGCTTATGCTGGATGCCTGCACAGCAAGGGCCAGGTCACAGAGCCTGCCCGTAGACAAGCAGGCTCTGCTTCAAATGGACTTGAGATTTCGGCGAAGTGAGATTGCCACCCAGGCGGCACACAAGCCCAAAGTCTAGATTATGCATGATTCACACATGTAATGTATGTACCTTCTGCAGCCCCGGCCCCCGCACACCCTACGAGGCCCCTGACCTTGCGACATTGCTGGACGAAATCCTTGAAGCGACCCTGTCCAAGCAGCTGGCCAGTCACGACCAGGCAAGGAGTAGCCTCATTTCCCAGCATCCTTCTGAAAATTGAAGGTTTGCAGTCCGCTAAACGATGGCAAGTATTCTGTAATGTAAGACAGCTCAACACTCTTCTTGCCCAAATGCGCATTTGGTGGGTGCCTAGCGGCTTTGCGTCGTCCACCGTTAAACCAAGTTACCGTGTGAGTTTCTTTCCCAGATTCCTCTCTAAGAGATTGCGTGACATTCGCGGACTTCTTGCGGACCTTCTTGGTGCTGCCGCATAGTCGTGAAGTGCACACGAGCCTTGTTCAGGGGACGAGCTTGGAGCAGGTGGCAATGCAGCTTCAGGAAGCCAAGGAGGAAGCCAATGTGAGCTCTGGATTCAACAGCTAAGAATGTGCGAAGTCTTCTTACAAATAGTGAAGGGGCGGAGGGATCGTTCAAATCGAATATTGTAAGTATGAGACATACTGACATGGATTGTGCTGAAGGTCCAAATCTCACACTGCAAGTTAATGTGGTCTCTATTTGTTGATGATTAGGGGTTTCAGGCGATGGGCAGCACTAGTGATTTCGGAATAGTGAGTGGGAATTCCTGATGCGAAGCTGCTAGATGCCGTGTGATATTAGTATGAGGAGCATCATCTAGAGAGCTGTCCTTGGGCGGCATCCGCTTCCAGAAGCTCCAGAGACCCATCCCATACTCACACTGCCCCTTCCGCACAGTTTCATTGACACACAATATGAAGATAGAGGTCTGTCTGTCCAGTCCGCGTCCGCGTTGAAGCAATGTGCAAACGCGCTTAATGGCGGTGTGCAGCTTCGCTAGTCGCAGTCGCGTCTGCTTGAACTGTGCACGC